TTTCTATTTTTAGTTTTTTAAGAAATTTCTATATTGATTTATATAGTGGCTATACTGGATTTCTCTTAAATTCCTTGAAAAAGAAAACTTATTTTTAATAGGGTTTTGCATTTACTGGACCCTCTGCCTAGATTTTCCCCCCACAGTTCCCCCTCATAGTTCACTCTCTCACACTTTAAATATTACCTCCTAAGAGGCATTCCTTGATCGCTCTTACTAAAGGGTTACTTCTAGCATGTTTAGTTCCAGTTCTGTTAATCTGCATCAATTCTTTTTATAGCACACCTTGGTATTTGAAATGAAGTTTAGTTCAGTTTCAAAATTTGACCATGATTTGTTATTTGCCTTTACCTTCTGATGATAGTAAACTCAATAAGGTATTACATTTAGATTTACTTCAAATATTATTCATTACCATATCTAAACAAGCATTTTAAAAGGCACCCAAAGAGAATATCACCCTTTATATGAAATTATCTTACTCTGAACTATAAATACGTATTACTTTAAGAGTAAAACCTAAAAACTATTGTGAAAATTTTATTTCAAAAAGAATTTATGGTAAAATAATAGATAAACGTTGATAATATTAAGAGTATAATATATCGGAGTAAATGTAAGAAATAATGTTAGATACATTTTAGTTAAGTTTTAGTAATATTCTAACAAAAGTAGATTATATATATAATTAATTAGAATATGTAGTCTGTAATATATAGTCTAATATTTAGTCTGCAATACATATAACTATACATAGAAATCCAGACCATTGTAGAATAATTTGATATACTGACATTTTTAATACTAAACAATATTTATAAAAATTAAATTAATTTTAAGTTATTTAATTCTATTTATGAAAACTTCACACATTCTTCAAGAGGTCTTATTTAGGCATACTTCCCATTTCATAAGCATAAAATAACAACAGAAAATCAACTTTGCCATATCATAATTTTCAAGGAATTTAAAAGAGTATATTATCACTTATAAAAGTATTTGTGCTGAGTGTGGTGTGCACCTGTATTCCAGCACTTGGGAAGGTAAGGCATGAAGATTGCCATGAGTTTGAGGCCAGCCTACGTCACATAATAAGTTCAAGACTGTAGCCTAGATTATACAGTCTCAAAACCTAAATAAAAATCAAAATCAAAAAACTGAAAAAAATTGATAAAAAATAAAATGAGTAAATATGTGATACAATTAATTTTCAAAACTATACACATTAAAAGACTATCTAGAAAATTTCTTTTTGAGGTTTTAAATCTGTAAAGGTTCAAAACTTGGCAAAATCAGTGATATGGGTTGTTAGTAACTTTCAGGAGATGATGTTAAAGTTCTGAGACTTGCTAAAGTCACAGATTTTATATTCAAGATTCCTTGGAGAAAAGGTTATTGAAAAATATTTTCCTAAATTATGTGTACTATATGTAAAATGTTCCTAGTTTTGGTGTTTTTCAAAAGACTACTCAATGGCCTACTTCAATAGTATGTACCACAGTGAGATATACACGTACAGCTAAAAATTCTTTCAATGTGTGATAATGTGTAAATTAACACAGTGAAACCAAAAAAAATGCTTTCTTTTCTGGTGAAGATACTTCTAGTTGTAAACAGGTGACTCCAAACAGGCATGAAAATTGATATGAGTTTGAGGCCAGCCTAGGCCACATAGTGAGTTCAAGACTACAGCCTGGATTATACAGTCTCAAAAACCTAAACAAAAAATCAAAATCAAAACCTGTAAGGTGCATTACAGAATAGAAAATGAGCAAAATTATCATTGACAAAAAAAAAAAGTGGTGGAAGTACAGGAATCACACACAATGTTTTGTTCACAACCTTCCACTGTGTGTTCAGAAATGCCAGATTTATTTGTCAGAATATACTTACAAACAGCAAAGCGTCAACCACTTCTGTTGTTCGTTACCAAAAGTAATACTACATAACACACAACACATTTTTCAACTGTTCTGTTATATACTACTGAACAGTATTCAAAGAATATGTAAAAAAAGCCTACAAATGGCAAAAAAAAAAAAAGGCTACAAAACAACAAAAATCTAGAAATGTATTCTGCAAATAGGAATATACTAACACAGACAATATTACTAACAATTACTGGCTACTTGTCTGGGAGATTGTTAGATTCTGCTAATTCTTCAAAAAACTAAACTTGCCCTAAGAGTTTAAAGTATTTCTGTTATACGGATCCTCTTATTATGCTGTCACAAGAAGCTGTAAAAATTGACATGTATATGAGGAAGGCTGCAAATACAGACAGAAATTCTGTAAAGATTTTGTTACCTTGAAAACTAATTATGTCATGTTGATATACTGTCAGATTTGTAAACCAACATGAATTTTTGGAAAAGCAGCACAGTGTTTTGTAGAACTGCTTCTATAAAACTATCACTAAACTACTGTTTAGTATTCCAGCCATGCGAGACAGTTAACCCTAGGAAGAATTTATTAGTTGAAAGTGATGCGGAATTAATGTATAAAATTTAATTCTTAAAATTTTGTAATAATTACAGCCATAGCAATACTTAAGTTACATGTCTAAAATTTTATGCATTAAAACATAAGTTCATTCTAGGATGATGGTAATCTAAAAGTCTGGCTGTGTATTAAACTTAGATTTCAGGATTTTATCCAAAATTTATCTTTTATGTAATTCTATTATTAACATATTATCTATATCCTTCACTAAAATATAGTGAAATTTTTGTTACTAGTAATTTCATATTAACCCCACTACTAGGTATACAGACACACACACACACACACATACACACACACACACACAAATGTAGACGCTTAGATAAGATACCCAGAAGGTTTTTCTTCTAAGTATAATATAAAGATAAGAAACTGAAAGAGAAAATCAATCCAAAACCACAATAAATATTGTGTAAGGGTAGGAAATTACTCAGAGAGGAAAAGTAACTGGCATATGGGGAAGGAGGAAAGAACAAAGAGAAAAGGAAACACACACACGCACACACACACATACACACACAGGATAGCTAAGACTATACTACTAATTCCATTAGTTCTTAGAAAAGAACAGTTAATACTCATATGATTAGATCAATTTTTCAAATCTGTATCTGGTAATCTAAGCACCTCTTTTGAAGGTAACAATATGCAATATTACAAGCATTGTTAACTTCCTATCATCTTGTTTTGAGAACCTATCCTGTTACTGTTTTGGGTTTGTTGTTATTTGACTCTTTTGCTTTTTTTTATTCTTTTCAGTATCTATTTTTCTCTTACATAAATAATTTTTTTAAAGAAGAATGCCAGACATTTTAGAGCCACACATAGACTTTTAAAATTTGTTTTTATAAGTCTTTCTCATAATTAGTACTTATAATTTTAAGGAGCACTTAATACTGCTTGTACTATAAAGACTAGAAGACTTAGGAAAATGAAGAATTTTCTATTCCAGGAATACAAAGACCTATAAAACTTTCCAAAGTAAAACAAAAAGGATAACATTACTCTCAAGGAATCCAATTTTAGCAATCAGGGAGACAAAAAATCAGTAAAGTAGATACAAAAGAAAAAAGCCTAAGTGTAAACTAAGCTAGAAAGCGTAAAAGTATAAAATAGCTTCAAAGGGTAAGGTGGAAGGAGAGAGTCTTTTTAAATGCTACTAATGAGTTACATATGATTTAAATATCTGATATGCTATTATAAAAAAGGCACTTCAATGTACCTTCTCTTTTTTACTATTTAATCTATTGTTTAGTTTTGGGGTTTATTTTTATCATCTTTAAAATATCAATAATAATGTCTAGCTCATAGGTTATATCACTAAATTCCATGTAAATTACATAAATGTCTAATATGAGAGTTGGTCTCAGTTCTTATATATATTCTTTCTACCTTTGGTTAGATCTTTTGAAAAGTTGAATACGTGTTTTAAATACTTGTTAAATACTTGGCTGGAATAAAGACGTGTGAAGCTGAAATTTAGGCAACTAGCACATTTTATACTTAAAAATGACAGGAGCTATTTAGATGAATGTAGGAGTAATGAGACATTTCTAGATCTAGCAATTTCAGTCAGATTCCTGTAAACAGTCAGGGTTAGTTAAGAGACAGAAGAACTAGTGAAAAATCAATCTTCTTGAAGTGGCCAATACACATAACCTGCTATTTAGAAAGCTAAATGCTATGGTTTGTTTAAGTGTTCCCCCCAAAGCCTCATGCAGTCATGGAGGTGGCTGGGTCTAGTGTTTGTGAATGGTTCATTGTCCGGTGCTGGGATTGGGGTGTGAGTGCTGCATCTGCCCAGGGGCAGGGAGCCAGCATACAATTCAAGGGAAGAAAGGAGGCATGCTTTCCCCCTATTGCCCTTTTGCTCTTCTCACTTGCAGTCACCATGAAGGACTGCCACACCACCTTGGAGCTAGCTGATTATGGGCTGAAACCTCCAAAACTTTAAATGAAATAAAACTTTCCTTGTTTCACTTTGGGTGTTGGATGTTTTGTCTCAGCAACTAGAGAAAGGTAACCAAGACACTAAAGAAGCTAAATGTAGCTAAGGCAACAAGAACCTTGATGACATGCTACAGATCAACTCTGTGCCTGAATATTAATTTGTAGCAAAAGAAAGGAAGCAGCATCTGAGGATAAGAATCTCAGAAATACACCACGGAGGGAGGTAGAGGCCAACACGTATGCTGGGAAAAACTCTGTTTCCCAGCATTGTGAGGTGACGGGGTGGAAAGAAGCCAATGTAACATTGGTATCTGCTAACACATGTGGCACTTTAGCACTGTAATACATAGTGCCCAACTTAGGCCTAATTCAGACTTAATACAGTCCAATAGAAGAGAACCAATTTGGGACTGGACACAGGCAATAAACACTAAGTGATTCTAATTTGTGGTATTTAGTTACTTGCTTGTACATTTCTAATTATTTCTAATATGTATGCCTATAATACAACAGTCATGCACTATAGTTACTAAATATTTTCTACTTACCTGTAGAGCAAGGGTACGAGTAACCAGGCCTCTAAGGTATTGTAAGGGATCTTCTGGGCCTTCCCACTTGTTCTGCCATGTGAGAGGACACTGTAATTTTAAAAGGGCCAAGATTAAGTTTATACATATTACATAAATATTTTTATATTAGTATAACAGGAAAAAAGTTTGGCATAATTCACATTTCCATATCATGATTTCATTAAGATATACATTTGTTTTTCTTTAATTTCATTTCAAGTCAATAATAAAAATAATGAACTGTTTTACTTGAAAGCATTTTTTTAAAAGTAAAAATTCTTGAAATAAAAAAACTAATGAATTCAACATGCATAGAAGTTAAGGGCTGGGGATATATATAGTTCAGCAGGACAAGCACCTGCCTGGCAACTGCAAGGTCCCGAGTTTGATTTCAGGTACCAAAACAACAACAACAAAAAAAGTCAATCATATTTTCTCAAAACAATATTTAGTGTATAACGAAATCAAATGTCACAGGTCTAAAAATGTAAGATAAAAAAATCACTGGTCCCACAAGAATTTATTTGAATAATAAAGCTGTATTAATAGAACATTTACCCTGAAGCTATAATGAAATATATAGTATGAAGGAAAAGTAAAAAGCAAAAACACTGATTGAAAAATAGCTGTCTTGTACAACTTATGAATATTGACCTATTAGCTGGCATTCTACATTGCTGCATACTTCTTTACTTCACAGGCATTCTGTAAGTTCATAATTATTACAGTATAATTATCACTTTTTTTGGTAAGGGTTATCTGCATTTTCCAAATATAAATGTTATAAGTTTCTTAATGTCTTATTTTTCTGAATATTAACTTGATACCCTAAATAATCTCTGATTATGTTGTCATGAAATTACTTATGCTAGAATATATCAGTGATTTATAGAAAATGGGAATATGTATAGTGTATACCATAGATATATATATCTTTATTTTATATATACACACACACACACACACACAGGGCCTTAGAAAACATCTAATTTAGTTACTTCATAGAAACAAAATAAACCTTAAAAATGTGGTAGATAAAAGCCAGAATTATGCTTTAAACCAAAAACTGTTATCATAAAACATCCCAAATTCTTTGACACTGAGATGCGGTCCATCTTCACTCCTTAAATACTGGCCCAATGACTATTTGGGGCAATAGAATTTAATGCAGGTGAGGCAGAGCCAGTTTCCAGCTCAAGACTGTGAAGAGATTGATCTCTTTTCTGTGGAGATGTCCTTCTTGTTGGAACCTAGCCCCCTTTTGTGGAGCCCTTCCTATCTTTGGAGAGGCCCACGTGGCAATAAACAGAGGCTCCAAACTGTCAGCCTCCTGACTTACTAGCCACGTGGGGGGGCTGTGTGGATGAAATAAGCTTTCATGCCAAGACCTACTCAGACATCACGCTTGGAAGATAAAAATGTTTAAAAGTTGATATTCTCTGTTTTTTTTTTAATCAAGAAATAAACAACTGATACACAGTACCAGGTGTTTATATTCACCATAGTATACTTTTCCTGTTATGTCTCCTTTTCATAGTGCTTACCACATATGATAAATAATTAAGCAATTTCTAAGATGTTTCCAGTGATCTCTGCTACACTGTATTCATGTTTCTGTGAAATCCATTCACCTTAAATGTGAATTGCTCATTGTGACATTTTCATAACAAAAGAATATAGCAAAAGTAATGACGTCACTTCTGAGATTAGGTCGCAAGAACCCTGTCCTGTTCTTTATTTCTTACTTCCTTTGATCACTTTCAGATGACTCATGGGAAGGCTCATGTGACAAGGAAGTGATATATTTATTCAAGAATTAGCAGATATGTGAACTGGCAATGGCCATCTCATCAATGACCTTAGAATAACATTGCCTTTGACATAATTTATATTTCTATAAAAATTTTCATAGTGTGCCAATTGAAATTCAACAATTGTGTACTGGAGATTAAAATTACAAGATGGGGAAAGCACATAGTAAAGTTAAGTCAATTTTAGAGGTCTTTAAAAACTAAGTAATAAAGAACTTGAACCCAGGTCTAACCTTACAGTATGTACCCTCTTTTCACCATCCATGCTTTCCATCAGATATGTCACAGAAGGGAGCAGGTGTTAGTTTCATTTTCTATTCTCGCTTCAGCATTAATTATCTAGCGTATTGGCTTTCCCCATTGCTGGGAAACAATATCCTACACTCAAAATTTAATGGTGATATTTTCTGTTTGCTATTGTTTTGCAGTATTGGGAATGGAAGATAGGGCCTTTACACTAACACCCAACCATTTAAAAAAATTTTTTTAAAACAGGGTCTTGTTAAATTGTCCTGGATAAGTTTAAACTTGTGATTCTTCTGCCTGGCTGGGATTACAGGTATGTGCTACTGCTCTGCCTATGAGAACTTTAACATGGCTTATAGTCTGAGGGATTCAGCCTATAGCAGGCTGCAACGTCATGGTAGATGGGCACAACAGAGCAAAGTGTTTACATTATGGTAGTTGGGAAACAGCAGGGAAGTGCACCAGAAAGGGGCCAGGGACGAGCTATAGACCAAAGTCACACCTTTATGACCTACACAGACACACCTAGAAGTGTGTTTTACCAGTCCCCTTGGAGGCTCCCAAGCCAATCAAGTTGACAATCTATCTTAACCACTGCATCAAGCAGACATCTATTAACTAGAACCTACTGGTCAATCATTTGTTACTTGCTGGTGATACTAAGTCATAATATAGTCCTTGTCGATAAAAACTTATGCTAGATAGAAAAGCAGACAATAAATGAGAGTTACAGATAAAATAAGTTCCCTAATAGTGACAAACACTATAAACAAACATGAAGTTATGCCAATTAAAAGGACAAGAATAAGAAAAGCCTCCTCAAGGAGGTAACTTCTTAAAATGAGTCTCATATTCCAAAGTCAGATTAAAAAAAAAAGGCTACAGTAGAAAGAAAATTAGTTTGATGTATTAAGGACCAGACCATGAAGTTATAGAGTATTTATACTAAGATTTAACTTTTTATTGGTTACAAAGCATCATTTTGGGGGGGTACATTTTAGAATTACAGAGTGTTAACATTCCCCATAGGGAACTTGATCTACGTGATACATGTCAGTTCTTTTCTCCTCACTTCCTTCCCCTCCCTTCAGCCCCTTTTCCCCTCTTTTATTTACAAAGGCTCTGTTTCCAATTTTTTCTTCTCTTTGTTCCTATCCTCCTCCTCCCCTCTCCTCTCCCCTGTTCTACTCCCCATTAGTACACTGCTTTCCATTTCCCAGTATGTATTATACATTTTTGTCCTTATTTACACTTATTGTTCTATGTTCTGGCCACAGAATTGGTTCCAGAATTGATGAAACAAATTCTATAAGCAGGATGATGGAAAGAATTAAATTCATGAAATAAGGTAGCACTGTATTTTTCTTTAAAAAGGAAAGGAAAGAAATTGTGGCTGTTACCACAAGTGTGAACCCTGAAAAGATTATGCGTAGTGAAATAAACCAGTTATGAAAGAAAAGTGCTGTGTAGTTCCACTTAAATGATATACGTTAGAGTGAAATTCACACAGAGACAAGTAGAATGGCTGTTGTCAGGGATTGGGAAGAGTAAAGAAGTGGCTTAATGGGTATATTTTTAGTTTTAAATGATGAACAGAGTTCTGGAGATTCCTCCACTGCAATGCCAATGTATAGATCAGAGTAAAATGGGATTATGTTTATAGTCCTGAAACAAGCAAAAACTGCCAACCATATAAAGGAACAAAAAAGACCTGCCCAATTAAAAAACTGAGGAAATTTATTACCATCAGACCAGCCTTGGTTAAAATGACTAAAAGAAATCCTATGCTAGTAGCAAAACAACAATAACTATCAAGTTTAGATATTTTAAAAATCCAAATTATATCATGTATTATCACTGACTATAAAAGGTTAAAATCAGAAGTTAATCAAAGGACCTATATAGTTAGTATACGAACACATAGATGGACATTAAATATCATTCTCTTGAATGACCAACAGATAAATAAAGAAAACAAAAGAGAAATTTAAATGTTACTTAAAATGAAAATTAAAACTGCCAATTTTTATATACACAAGTGCATAACTCACATAAAAGAAAAAAGGATTAATACTACTGTATTAGCTTTTCTTTTGTATACAACACTCACAGCTCAGAGAACCAAAAGTTGGATTTGGTTCACATTTTAAGGAGGTGCAGTCCTAATTAGCTGGCTCCAAAGCAGGAACATCAGGGTAGAAGGCCAAGCTGAAGCAAAGCTGCTCAGTTCACAGTAGTCAAGAAGCAAAACATGAGACGAATGTCAGAGAGAAAGGGGCAAGGGACCACAAACAGACTTCAAGGCCATGCCTGTACGGCCACTGAGACACACCCAGAAGTGCACTCCACCAATTCTCTGAGCAGATCGCAAAGCCATTCAAGTTGCACTCTACCTTAAGCCATCACTCTTAAACAGAAAAAAAAAAATAATAAAAACCTATCAAATCACAAAGATCAAGGAAGAAAAAAACTACCAAATCACAAAGATTAAGGAAGAAAAAAAGTATAAAATATCCACAAAAATAACAACAAAAGGATTTTTAATAATCAATAATCTTAACTGTAAACAGACTACTCCATTCAAAGATTCAATATGGATGAATAGGTTAACATGTTCCCACTGGTTTGAATCCCTGGTGGCACATGTATGACCACATACATGGGCATTGTGTATTCTAGTGGTACAAATTAATCTAATAACTTTTATCATATTTTTTTTACTAATTAATAAAAAGCTGCCCAATGGGACAGTCATGCATTTACTGCCTGTGGTTCAAGCCACCCAGTAGTGAGACATACAATTAACAGCCCGATTGAAAACATGTTTAAAACAAATAAGCTCCAATGATTATGCTCTCTACAAGAAACATATTTATTGGTTAAAACAAAAACACAAATAGACATAGCAAATAGATGAAGGTGGTATATATGCAAATAGAAACAAAAAGTACAGTATACTGGTACTGGATAAAATAATGTAAGTCAAAAACTATAAAAAGACTTAAGATCACTGTATAGCGATAAAAGAATCAATTCAACAAGTAGAAAAATGTTTTTAAATATATATACACCCATGCTGGAGCACTCAGTTACATAAAACTATTAAATTTAAAGGAAGAGAGACGTTTCTATATTGTAATAGTTCAGGACTTCAACATGGTATATCTTAAGACACACATTCTTACTAGCACATGGAATACTCACTAAGATAGGCCATAGGGTTGCTCACAAAACAAGTCTCAACAACTTTTAAAAAATAAACATTATAGGTAAAACTCTTGAAGATATAGGCATAGACAAGGACTTTCTGAAGAGAACCCCAATTGCATGAGATACATTAAGAATCAACAAATGGGATTATATAATTAAAAAGCTTCTACAAAGCAAAGGAAACAACAGAATGAAGAGATGACCTACAAAATGGAAAAAAATATTTGCCAGCTATTCCTTTGACAGAGGACTAGTATCTAGAAAACATAAAGAACTCTAGAAAGCTATCCTCTCAATAAAAGCAAATAAAAAAATGATCCACTGAAGTGAACAGATACTTCTCAGAAGAGAATACAAATAGCTAATTCAGACATGAAAAAATTTTCAACACCTCTGGTCATTAAAGTAATGCCAATTAAAACAACACTGAGTCCTTACTCAAGAAAGAATGGCTACCATCCACAAATCAAGTAATAACAAATGAGGGAGAGGCTGCTGGGAAAAAGGAACTCTTCCTCCATTGGTGGGAATGTTTAGTAACTTACAAATTGTCTACTGCTATAAACTCATTTTGCATAATGTTATCACATAAATACGCTATTGTATTCATAATGAAGTTACCCTAAAGTAAAACCAACAAAAATAACATATATAGGGTACTTATTCTGTGCCAAGTACTTTACCCCAATCATCAAAATAATATTAACTATTACTACTTACATTTTACAAATGAGAACATTAGATATGTTCAAATAACTAATCTACATTTACATGGATACTACATAATAAAGTAGAATTCAAACAGGCTGAAATTCTTTCAGGGGCTACTTCTTAACCATTTTAGTATACAGTACATAAAAATAACAAAAACTACTTATAAATGTACACATAACAACAGCTTCTTTAAACAATAAAAAACACATATAATTTGGGGCTGGGGATTTAGCTCAGCAGCATAAGCGCCTGCCTTGCAAGTGTGTGATCGTGAGTTTGATACCTAGTACCGGTAAAAAAAAAAAAAAAAAATCACACACACACATATAATTAGTATTGGCTTACCTTTTGGTTTAATAAAGCACTTGCCAATTTTTGCACTTCTGCGCTCAGTAAGGTAGTTCCTCTGATAACTTTGCTAAGAGCAGCAAGAGACTGATGAACACTTTGTACTAAACGAATGGCATTAAATTGCTCTAGCATGATGAATGATAATATTGGAGATCCTTGTCGATCATTAGGAGGAAACACTTTCTGATGAATCAGGTTTGAATTCTGAAAAAAAAAATTATGTCATATTCACTAAAAAGTAATATAAATCATTGTTACATGGAAACACTTCAAAACTTATTAAAATGTATTCTGTTTTAAAAGTTTCATGAATGGCCAAAGATATTATGTCTGCAAAACCACAAGAAGACAATTCTGCAAATTCCTAACATTTAAAGGGGTATATAAGGTGGGAACTGAGAATGATAAAAGGAAAAACATATTGAAAAGCAGTATTCAATATATTAGAAAAAGTGGGGCGGGAGGTAACCTGTAAGCCAATGCAGAAAGCAAGACAGCTACCTACCACTCTGACATTACAAAGACAGTAAGAAAAGATCATGCCAATAAATAAAATGTGAGTACATATTTCAATTGAAATCTACCCTTAATGTCTTGTACTCAGGCCAGTCAATCTTTATATCTAACAGAGGTAATATATCATATGGTATATGGAAATTCTGAAATTTATCAAATTTTAAAGAAAAAACAAACTCAAAGAATCCCATTTTACAATACCTTAAATGGTTAATTATTTTCCAAAGAGAAAGACAATTTTCAATATATTCTAAAATTATCAAAAGTACCAAAAGATAAACTTGAGAAGTCTTGTTCTTTAACTACTGTTATTCCAATTTTCTCTACATGTTCTTCACTGGTGCAAAAATTGGCAAGTGCTTTATTAAACCAAAAGGTAAGCCAATACTAATTATATAGTCACATTGTGTACAATAGCATTGTCCCTGTGACATTCAGTTACCATAGTAATTTAACAATATGATACAGCACAGTTGCTGCCATTAAATAATTTTACTGACATATAGTTATTCCTGAACACAAATTTAGCATATGGGTAGGGCATGGCATTCTTAGTTCTATTACTCTGCACTAACAATATTAACACTACTGAAACATATACATTTAAATACTTCGCAGCAAACTCAAAACTGAATTTAGAGAAGAGAAAAATCTAACAATATCATCAGAATTACCTATATGGGCCAGAGCATGCAATAAGTAATACTAAACACATTTCACCTTAAATCAATGAGCAATAAAGTCAAATAAAAGTTGAACTGTAAATCTTTTGTACTACTTTATTAAAACAGGCTTCCTGGTATCAAAATGTTTATCAAGATTATGTCAAAGTCAGCAAATAGCTTATTTAAAAGTAGTTTTTTGTGGGTTTCTGTTTTTTTATAGATTGACATGACAAATATATACTGTTTTCATGTTACTTTGTGGAACAAGAACTTAGTTAAGTGGACTATTTCTTAAATGAACATCCCAAAGGAAACAAAAAGCTTAATGCACTGAAACTGTAAGAAGTCTGATTTCTAGTAATTACACAAATTCTTAAATAGAATTCAAGTGTTATGAGCCTAGAAATGTGCCATAAATGTAAAACACACATGAAATTTCAAAGACTACAAGGAAAAACGATGCTTGTGCCACAACTTTTCACGCTGATCAAATGCTGAAATGCTAATATTTTGGATATACTGAATTAAACAAAATATTACTAACATTTCAGTTGCTGTTTCTACTTTGAAAATTATGGCTCTCATTTTTGCTTCATGTTGTATTTGTATTAATGGTTGAAGTTCAGCAAAATGAACAGGAGAAAAATCATATGGTAGGGACTCAAAATTTGATTAATGAAAGATTTAAAATATTGAGAAAAATGAAGAACAGAAAGGCAAACTAGTCTATAAACAATGATATAATAATAGAGGGAAAATATAGAAAATGACAGGAAGGTGTATTGTAGTATGTACTATGATATAACCCATTTCTCACAGGGCTCTCCAAAGTTTTCATTAAAGGTATAACATAACTATTCTGAGAATAAATACAATTATTTTAATATATTCTCAAAGGATAAGGAACACAGATATATATATATATACTACCAACATGTTAAACAACCGTTACATAATTTTAAACAAAAATAAACTCACAGTAGTATTTATCATTCAAGTAGATATAATTAACAAATGAATACAACATATATACAGTAGTATAATTTTTGATGAAACTATTAAATGGGTCACAGTGATATCTCTTTAGTCAACAGTTTTAAAGAAAGCATTTTCTAAAAAAAAAAAAAAAAAAGTGCAAAAATACACCCTTCCTGTGAGCTGGCACCATGCACAGGCCGCCAAAAGAGAACCTTATGCCAGCTCCTTCTAGTGGCTCCTCAGGCTGAGAGACAAGAAGACCCTACACTCCACCCTGCAAAAATGACCAGCTGATCTGGAGAAACATAGGCTGAGAGGATAGCTACGACACTAAACACTAAACACTACAATGATTTCGCAGGCCTAAAGCCAGTAGTTTGATCATCTATTTAGAGGATAATAATATGGAATGTAGCATCTATGGGGGATCTCCTTCTGAATTGTTAACGTCCTATTAATCTTGAAGTCCTATATCACTTTCATTATTTTATTTGGTTGGGTTTTATTCTGTTTTGTCTTGTTTGATTTTACTGTATCTGATGGCAATAGGCAGCTACTTCAAAGATTACAAGATATATTATAGTAGCCATTTTGGACTTACAATTATCTTGTTTTGAATTCCTGAATTGCATTACTTGCTTTGTTTTTAGTGTTTCTATTTTGTTCTCTTTTGATTGATTTTACTATTTCTGAAGGTGTGGGCAGCTATTTTGAAGACAACAAGAGGCATTATGGTAACCATTGTTGATTTCCTATTATTTTGTTTTGAAATCCTGTGTCACATTTTGTTTTTATCTTAAAGAGAATAAAATAGAATAAAACCAATCAAACCAAACCAGTGTAAGAAATACAGGACTTCAAAATACTATGAAATCAACAATAGTTACCATAATGTCTTTTGATGCCTTCAAAATAGCTACAGATAACTTCAGACATAATACAAATCAAACAGACCAAACAGAATAAAAACAATAAAAACAAAACAATGAATGCAATAAAGGACTTCAAAACAAGTCTATAGTATATCCAAAATTGCTACCATAATATACTGCTATCTTTGAAATAGCTGCTCATGCCTTCAGATTTGACATAATCAAACAAAACAAAAGAGAATAAAACCCAACCCAACAAAACAAAGTCCTATATCATCATATAGGACTTCCAAACAAGACCATAAGGAATCAACAATGGCTACAACCCTCAGAAGGAGATTCTCCTAGATGTCACACTCCATATTGCTATCCTCTGAACCTATGATCAGAACACTGGCCATATACCTACAATGTTAGTGAAACAACAAGGCACCACAGGCATCCAATTGCACTTTACCTTGATAGCTATCATCACAGCCTGTGCCTCTCTGGATAAACGGGTAGCTTACAGCACAGAGTGGCAGGGATGGAGACAGGGGGCAGACACTTCTTGTTTGCCAGCCCATGCACCAGAAGGGATTTGGATCTGACTGTTTCAGTGCAGTGGTCCAGGCATGGCACTGGTTCCCAGACTGGGTTGCTCACTGGTATGGGTTTGTGTTCTCTATCTCCAGTCTGCAAATGGTACTGACTCATGGGCAGAGTCTGGGGTCTGTTCCAGTCTGGCAGCGGCCCACAGATGATGCTGGTGATCATTGTTTTGTTTTGACTGACTTTAATCTGTTTTATTTTGCTTGTTTTTATTCTCTTTAAAAGTTACCCAAAAAAGCAGAAAATATAAATGACAGAGTTGCATACTTATGAAGAATCGTATTTGACATTTTAAAGTCCATTTTGTCTTTAAAAAGCAAACTGTAATCACAGAAAATCGTTATCTTATCATGGAGTTGACAAAGAAAGATAGATTATGGATAGTTATAAACTGTTAAATAAAGGATCTTCAGTCTAATCTGGTACAGTTTAGGTTCAATCCCCAATACTAGGGGGGAGGGGTGAGGAAGAAAAGATGTGGCCTAAAAGAATAACAGTACCAACACAATCTCTGTACATAAAGAGGCAAACACAGACCGTGATATTTAAGGGAAAGAATGGCTAACATTTGGAGAATATATGTGCCAGCCACATGCATTTCTGCAGCAAAGTGCATGTGAGGGTGAGGCTAAAACATGTTACCCTACTGATGGCCAGAGTTCATGTGATGGACCTGGCTGGCTAGGCTGGTGTCCCCTTCTCCCTCACTGCTCCATGTGTGTCCCTCCCACAGCGTGCATGTTAGGTGGAAGAGGACAATCACTTCCACTAGAGGAAGTCAAAGATACAAGAGTAGCTATGTTCCCCTACAAGAACCTCCAAACAAACTCTCAAGGAATACAATAAAGTGAGAGAAGAATAGAATTTGAGATTTTTGGATCTGTTTATAGGAAAAATATGATGTCATTTTGTTTTAAATGAATAAGTTTTGAACCATGTTCTAACAATTAAATGATTTACCTTTTTTCATGACAATGGAATGCTTTTGGTGTAGTTTATATGCATTACTGACTCTTACATAAGAGTATAACCTATTTTAAAGTTTGAAATTAACTCAATCACTATTAAATAGCAAAGTAGCTAATTTCTTAAGCCTGAACAAGTAGTAACATATAAGGGTATTGTAATTCACCTAAAGGAGATTTCTCAGTACAAACCTATAGGTGAGTAGAAGAGGCATGAGATTTTTACAATACCGAAGAAACAGAATTCAAAAGAAAATAGGAACAATCATACTTATATCAATAAGATACAGCTCCAATACAGGAATAGTAAAGAATTTAAAACCCTCCACTTTCAGCAAGAGATAGATCATCCAGAGAGGAAATCAACAAAGAACAAAGTTTGATTGTCCTTAGCTAGAGTGAGAGAGGAGTCAAAAACAATAAAATCAGAGATGAAGGAAAAACATTAGAACTGAGACCTAAGAAATACAAAGGGTCATTGGAGATACTATGAACAACTATATGCCAACAAGTATGATAATCTGTAAGAAATTAATAAATTCCTAGACACCAAGACCGAAGCATGAAATAATACATCAATAACAAGTAAAACTGAATTAGTAATAAAGTCTACCATC